GGTCGACCATTGAACCTTTTCATTTCCAATTTTGGTAATTTGGCGCAAATGTTGACGTTCAATGCTGCAGTTGTTCCATTTAAAAGTAGTCCAGATTGGGGACTTAAGCCTACGTTTCCAGTTGAAGCGCTCGGGGTTGAGGTGATCGACGAATTAATCTGCAGAGATTTCAAAGTCGAATCAATGCGAACCACAGCCCACGTGATTTCATCTGTGATTTCGCTTGCTTCAGCAACTTCATGTGCGATAAATTCGTCTTCATTTTCATCATCTACGAGTTCCAAAATCTTGCTATGGAGGCTATTCAAGGAGTCGAGCTTTTCCCTGAGTATAATCTTCTGTTGTGAGAGTTCATCCTGTAGCGACAGCTCTAAATTAACGAGGAGTTTCGTGACATGTGCTCGTTGACCTCTACGGATTTTCCTTTGTTTCTTGAGTACTTCAGCCATTGTTGTGCCAAAATCTGACTCCGAAGGACCGTGTAATGAATTTATTCCTTTTTCCGACTTTTCAACAACTGGCTAAAGTGAATCTGACCGAGTTTAAACTTACCCTGCGAGCAGAGTCTCCATCGATCTTCCTAGACAAATCGGGAAGAGGAAGGAGACTCTGCGAGCGGCTTCAAGATTTCCTATTGAGCATGCTCCAACGCAAAGGTAACCGAGCCTCGATCAACCTCGTTGTCAAAATATGTTAATCATTAAATTAACACATCAACAAATCCTACCATTGGACAACCCAGTGCGACTTGTCGATCATGATGCCAATGATGCCATCGCAATATTGCTGGAGCAATTTTCTCACATCTTCATTGTCAAAGACCTCAGGGCTCGCATACAATAGTTGGTAGTCGCATCGCTTCTGTAGAGAAATCGTGCTTTCCATGTTGACTTTGCAAGCGTTGATCCCCATCCTCTCGGGGGAATTTATCTGATCTGAAATTAGTGCATTCACGGGCAAGGGCGAGACAACAAAAAGCATTGGTTCAGCTGGGAACTGTTCCTCAAAGTCAGAAAGTTCCTTTGCAACCACAGGACAGATTTGGTAAATCAGCGATTTGCCATGACCGAGCAGAAGGGAGACGAACGTATCATTGCCACACAAAACTGAACAGAGATCTTGTTTGTGTTTGCGAGGCTTGAAATGTTACCAATGTTAACTTTTTGGAACGCGGATTTCACGGCTTTTACGAAGACTTTGCACGAAAGCGAAGCAGTCACCATGCTCACGTAAAATGGGCGCGGAAATATTCAGCAATTCTCGCAAGTGATCATGCGCATCAGTGAGAAACCGGTTTGACCAAAAGGAAACTGGACTGACTCATCCATTTTCTCAGATAAGCGGCGGATCAAAGAATCTTGGAGCTGCTCACAGAGTCTCCTTTCTCTTCCCGATTTGTCTAGGAAGATCGAAGGAGACTCTGCTCACTGGGTAGTTTAAACTAGAATTCCAGAGTTCAATCTATCAATGCAACAAGATACGATGCGAGTAAAGTTAAATCATGTGATCACGTGACTAACAATCAATAAGTCAATGTCAACATAGGAGGGTCCCTGAATTCTGGATAAACTGCTTTTCAGACGATGTTCCCATTAAAGTTTCAAAGTGTTTTAATTCTCCAATTCTGCAACCAAAGGAAACTTCTTTGGAGCTCAAAATGGAAAGGAATAACCCTAAAGAACCCTCAACTGGACATTAAGGTCCTAAAGCTGATGAACCAATCTTTACAGTGCCCTCTTATTCTTGGATAAGTTTTACTCCAAGGCTTAACTTCCTCGGCTTATTTTAGGTGGGGCTCCATATTAGTTGAGGGTGGTTGTGAATTTTGAAGGCACTAGCATCTAAAGCAAATATTTTTGGATCCATGTAAATATCATATGATATAAATATTACAACATAAAACACTAATGTACTGTCGGAGTATAAAGCAAGCCCTATGTCAAGGTAGTGTTGACTTAAAAAGAAATTCCAGCTGCAGAAATATTTATTTATAAAGGCATCTCGCAATAGGTACAAGCACACATTGGATGCCTATTTTCCCCCTTGCTGGAAAAAAAACAATTTTTTCATGTCATGTACCTTCATCATCTGATGCTGAATCATCATCATCTGTTTCATCTGCTTCTGTACGTTGGTAAAAAAAAAAAAGATTGACATTTTAACCAGGAGAAGTCGCTAACTTACAAAACCTACCAACTTCTCAAACTGATTCTACACGTGGGTAAATTGAAAAAGGCACAAGTAGAGAAAGAATAGAATTTCCTGCTTCCCGAATATACAGCAATAAGGCTGCTCTTAAGTAACTTTACTTCTTATTACATTCATGACAAAACCAAAAATGATCTTCATGATGAAAAAACTTTCCGTACCATTTATCCCGTTTTCGAAATTTTCAGAATTTTGGATTGAATGGAAAGCGCCCTTAGTTACACATAGACTGTCTGGTAATCAGAGGTCTGATCAAAGGAATTACTTGACTTACTACTGAACAATGTAATTGTCAAGAACCAGAGCAGAATTTAAATTCATATATACTAAATAAACGTCAAACAGTAAGGATATGAAGATCTCCATTAGAAAGAGTTTTCCAGTTCTGCTATTTCTCAGTGCCATGATGGTACTAGAAATGATCATTACTATGAAATTCTTGGCTTGTTTTAAAACTAACCTTTGGCTGAATCTTCCCCAAGGAACATTTTGCATGCTTTATACTCCTCTTCTGAGATTGTTGTTTTAAGCTGCAACTCTTCAAGGCTCAATTCTGTCAAGATCTCTTCTGTAACAAAACATCTTTGAACCACTTCACCAAGACGACCAGACAAATAATCTTCCCACAAACTCTCCAGGATCTGGAGTGAATCACACTTCACTGTTATCAGCAAACTTCCAATACTAACACCAGTAATAACGAGTCGCATTTCTTTCATGTATGCCAAAAAGCTATTGAACTCATCCTTATTGCTCGGTGGTGTAGCGTCCAGGTACCTGTAAGCAATCAAACGCAATACTTCTTCCGTAGATGCTTGGCGAGCTTCATTTTCTGTTTGCATACATGTATATTCTGATGGCACGGGTACTGCAGATGTCTCGTTATGCTCACCATCATTAGATCCTACTGATTCTGTTGTTGAAACAGGAGTTCTATCCTGTGTGTTGTGTTCTGTAGGTTTCGTGGCAAACACATCAATCCTTAAATTGACTGAAGCTGTTGATTTAAAACAGTATTCAAAATCCATATAGTTAGTTTAAAACAATCTCATCCTAATCATGCGGAGACAACTTTTCATTAAAATTTTACGCACAAGAATCTGGCCATGCCAAATTTGAAGGTCCCCTCAAAGCTGACTGGCTGAGAATCAGTGATAAGCATTCTCTAACTGCACATGCCAAAAAACACAGACCTGGTCAGAGTCTGTGTTCTTTTGCTGACTAAAGATAAGTTAGCTCTTGGGAAAGGGCTGAACTTTTATTGGTTAAGTCCTTGTTATGTAAGTGCAAGTCAATGGACAAAATCAGCTAATAAATAAATGCCAAATAATTATACTACTACAAGGTACATGTACACAGTGCAGGTGTCTGTACTTTATTTCTTAAAGGGCATTTGACACTCTTCTGTGCATGTGCCGCAATTTGATTTCTTACCCAAGGAACAGTTTTTAAAGTTGATGTTTGTGAGAAAAATCCGTCTCCATCGACCTTGTGAGGTGTGAGAAAATAATAATACCGATATTGAAGAACTGTTTAGTCATCTATGAAAGATTTAAACGGAATATTTTGTGCTTAGAGTTGAATACCGTCAAGAAATATGATGTCCTTGAGATGGGGTTTGCAAAGCGGCTAGAGACGAAAGCTACTTTCGTCCCGTAGCCATCTTGTTTTGAAGAAAAAAGAAATAAAACTAAAAAAGACGGGAGGACGAGCATCGGAAACTTCATCTAGCTGCAGATGTGTAAGTTGGAAGAAAGTAAAGTGTATGGGCTTGTACTAAACTTACACAGCCTTCGCACAACATAAACATGATACATATTCTTTACAAACAAAAGACCAAAAGGCAGCAGATAAAGAGATTTTCAAATGGCACATGAAACTCCAAGCTGACTCGCAGCAAATTTGGGGTGACACGCGTGATATTACAATTTCTGTTGGTTAAAAAAATGGTGTCAATCAAGACCGCACGTGTACTTTATTGTAACAGTGGCCCTTTAGGTGGAAGGTGACAGACATAATCAGCTAATAAATGAATACCAAAGAAAATCAGTAGCATGCAAAGGAAGATTAACATGTAATTGGTATAATTCGCAAGAGAATCAAAGAAAGCACGCATGTGAGCGCTAATGTACAGGTACATCTCTGCCCTTGCAATTCAGCTCCAAAACCAATCAGGAAATACACTTTGATCCAAAATTTATAAACAACTCACACATCATCATTTCTATAGCAATGTGAGATTTGACCAATTTGGTGAGTTTTAACCCATTGACGCCTATAACGCCTGTAACCGCCCCTGCAAAAACCACTCCCCAATTTCCTGTACCACCCGTAACCACCCCAAAAAAGCATGTGGGGACAATTGCATTTCCTACCCTCCCTGAAGACTTCTGCTTCTCCTATTCTTCTATTGTTGTTGAGGACAAATAAAAAAAACAGAATCCACTTTCTGGGCATAATTTTTTTTTAGAGGAAAGATGGTTTTTCGTCTTGAAATCGTGCACTCAAAAAGTGCAGCTAAACAAGGCACGTTTGGGGCCAAGTCTGCAAACTTCCAAGGTCTTGTTTTCGTTCCTAACACAGAAAAATTACTTCTTTGGGATTTAAAATGGACAGGAAAAACACAAATTAATGTTTAGGTGGCCTCAAAATCAAGGAGTTCCTTCAACTGAGGCAAAAACATGATGATCGGTGTGCTTTCAAGTGAGTTTTGAATCAGTGTTTGAATACTGATCATGGATAATTTAGGGCAGCTTCCTGAACTTAAGGAAACAAAAATGGTAATGTACAGTATTACTTCGAAGTTGAATTCAACATTTGGAAGGACTGGTAAAGCCACAGCCGACAAAATGACTGCAAAATGAATCGGCAAAAACTGAAGCATTTGCTTTAACATGAAGAATTACTTTGAACATGCTGTATGATGCAGTGAAGCACCTCTGCGAAATTGTTTTGCTTTCAAATGAAGGCTTTCGTGCAAAAAGGCGTATATAGCATTTTGGGCCGATTTTTATTTTTTGCAGGACCGAGGTAATTTTTGGCAGACTGACTTGTTTTGACATGAAAAGCATGGTTGCGTAATTGTTTTTGTTGATTTGCGCTTCTTTTTCAAGAAATAAAGTAGGCAAAAAAACTCAGTTTTCCGAGCAGCAACTTTTGGAGCGAATCCTTCGAAGGTGGATTTCAAAATGGTTACTTTTAGCAGCTTTGACAGCACGGTTTTTTTTAAATAAATGTTTTTATTTTTGAAAGAACTAGAGAAATAGACTGAAAAAAAAAATCGACCGACCTCGTACCAAACCGGTGTCACGACAAAACAAATTCGAATCTGGCCCGTTCAGCGCATTATCCACTTGTGCTAACAAAACAACAATAAGAGAATAGTGTAAATATATGAATAACAAAACTTGTATCGGTTCGAACAACTATCTGCAAATGCCACGCTTCTTGTTTGGCAAAACAAAAGATTTCTTTTGTTTTTCGTTCACCAAAAGATCTCCAAAAGCGAAAGAGGGACTACTCGTAGTCTAGAAAGGTCTAGAACCAATCAGTGAACCAATCAAAAAGTGAGAATAAAGCATGTTGTTCCAGCAAATCAGGGCATGCGTTATATGGAAACTCTATTAAATTTGTTAAATATTACGTAGTTGTCATAAATTATGAGTTGGGTACAACATCATTCCCAGGGTCCTCTCTCTTTACTTTCTCGAGGGAGGAAGAGAGAGGACCCTGGGAACGAGGTTGAGTTGGGTGCATCACCACTGTCAGATTTAAGTGCATTGTGGAATGGTAGTTCCTCGTACAACACTGAGTTGAAGCACTTGAATTGAAGCGCTTGAACAGCACTTGAAAGCGCTGAGTTGAACCGTGGCTGCAGTATTTAAAGGAAGTACAACCAGGGCAGAATCGACAACGTTGAAAAGAAAGAAAAAACAAGATGAGCTGGGAGTGTGTCGGATCAGACGGACTACAGGAGATCAACGCTCACAAACTCTTGGCTCTGGCTTCGTCGTTAAGGATCTCCAGATTTTTCCAGACCTTGATTTCTTTTACTGCCTTATATCAAGCAACAAAGTCTTCCCCAAGGATGACTGTACCATAGAAAGTTATTACTTGGACTTTAAAAAGTTAGATTCAAGTGACTTGAAAACAATTAAGTTAAAGGACGTCACTGCCAATCCAGCCAACTTTGTCCGTACTTCCGGCTTAGTTGTAATTCCCATCAACCCATCCAAGAAATGCCACAAAGATGAAAGCATTTTTGATTATCGACCATAAATAGTTGCCAACACAGGAATCGCACCTGGTGAGGACTTAAAGTGTTATTTTGTAGGTGATGGTCCTGGGCAAACAAACTTTTCGGTGATAGCGCTGGAGCTGAAACGATTAGAGACCGTTTCAACGCAGTATCAAATTCATGAAGCCCTTGAACGTATGATGAACTTACTCGTCAGGGGGATCGTAAGCCCTACGGTGCTGTCATCTTGAGGAAGAGTAGAAACAACAAATTAATGGCTGTTGGAGCCCTAATCTTTACAGATAACGAATCCAGAAACATAACTTCCGCGTTTTTTCCACTCTAGTCAAACGTAAGTACCTAAGGCAACTGTGTCAAAATTGTTGCAAAACAACCGCAGTAAACAAGAACTGAAACCTGGAACAGCAGATAGCTAGAATGGTGGAAATAATTAACAGGTGTAGTTACTTATGATGTGTATTATCACTCTTGGTCATTTCTGTGTACTTTCAATTAGGCAAAGTCTGTTTCTTTATTTGTGTTGCGTTATTAATAAACAATTATTGGGTGAGTTTTTGTGATGTCCAGAACAATCAAGGTCGAGGTAAGTGTTATCAGCCGAAGCCGACGGCTGAGGCTGATAACATTAACCGAGACCTTGATTATTTCGGAAATCACAAAAACCAAATCTCATAATTGTTTTATCATATATTGTTTTAAAGAAAATAACGACAAACGAATTATCGCACTGAACACAGTTTATTTTCAACAAGCCATGTTCTTACGTGAACTTAGCATTGTTCTTGGAAATCATGCATTGCGCACGCAACCTACGGATTATTCCCTAATCTGCTAGCAGATTAGTGAATAATCTGTAGGTTGCGCTGTTTCCCAGAATTAACTGTAGGCTTTTAGCCAATGATTATTGAGAAGACAGACGGTGCCTACAATAAGATTGCAACACCAGCGGAAAGTTTCTTTGAGGTAGCATTTGTATGTGGGCGCCACTGGAGAGATTCGTCAATGTGAACTCCAAGAGATTTTTGTTTGCTTACCCTATCTAGTGGTGTATTATGGACTTTGACTGTAATTAAAAATTATTATGTATTTGGGATACCTTTAATTTACTCCCTTTGAGCATGTACTTAGTTTTCTTGACATTTAGAGTTAATTTGTATGTTGCCAGCCATGACTGGATTAAATTCATATCAGTCCCCACTTACTTGATTTCATGTTCCAGTCCTCACGTACTTGATTTTGATATGTTAGTGATTTTTAGAGTGAAAAACATTAAAGAGACAAGGAACTCTACCTAACATATTTAAATGCTGGCTGGATTATGCAGATGAGGCACCTGCATGAGCAAATATCCAAATGGAACGTCAAAGGTCGCCAGAAAGGCCTTTAATATTGAGAAGGTCTGGAACCCAGTATGTTGCCATGGTAACAAGACTGCTAAGCTCATATATATTGTGGGGCACATTTAGTAGAATCTTACTGCAAAGAATCAAACATTTCTGATCCAAATTGGCTGAGATATCTTTCTTCATCATATTTATTCAAATTTTGGTTGAGTGTATGACGTCATCACTTGGCTAATTTGCATATTTTGAAAACTAGAATAAATCTGGAACGAAAAGTGATATTTGAAAA